CTAACAAACACTTGCTAGTAGATATGCATAAGAACCACAAAAGAAAAAAAACTGTAGAAAATACTATATAAAGAAAGGAAGGCGGTAATGTTATTATTAAAAGAAGACTTAGATCATCACAATGGTAACACAATATATAATATGCATTACTTAAATATTATAGCATGTAAGCAAGAGCACTATAAAAGTAGATATCAAAGAAGTAAAATAGATTGTATTATACAAATTTACTCATTAAATTATCAAAAAAACAAACAATACCCAATTCTCACAATGTACAACAATAACTACTAGTGACATATGTAGCCGCTTTAAGAGGCCAAGTAAGCTTAGACTCACATAAGTCTTACCCACCAGCCGGCTATTGTAATAACTCATCTATTATGAGCGCAAACATCAGACAAAGACTAACAACAAAGAGATACTAACACTATAAAATACACTCACTCACTACCAGCTATAAACTAGTACATCTAGTCTACATTCAAATCATTATAAGACTCACTGGAACAATGAACCTTATAGTGGTAACTGTTCTTATACTCACTATTCTCTCTACTATTGTATCTACTAATGAAAATACAATCAAAGGTAAATGAGTCTTTAATTTGTTTGTAATGTCATTATTTATAAAGGATCATCATCTGTGTCAACAAGCAAAGGATACATTAATGAAACTAATGTGAAGGAGGTTTATCTACAAATATTACGTGGTAGAGATGGTCGTGATGGAGTACCAGGAAGAGATGGAGTGAAAGGAGAGAGAGGAGATAAGGGAGAGAAAGGAGATAAAGGTGAAACTGGACCTGTAGGACAATCTGGTCCTAAAGGTGGAGGAGTAGTGTACACTCGTTGGGGAAGGAAGTCCTGTCCTACTGGAACTGAACTACTGTATGAGGGAATAACTGGAGGTGAATGGTATGATCATCCAGGAGGAGGAGCTAACTTTGTCTGTTTACCAAAGGTCCCTCAATATATGAGTACAAATGCACCAGCTCACTATTCTAATTTGTATGGTACTGCATAGCGATAATGTAAATAGTATATTTTCAGGAAAGTATTATCACAATGCTCCTTGTGCAGTATGTTATACATCTACTAAGAGTGTTAAACTGATGATTCCTGCTAGAACAAGCTGTCCTTCATCATGGACTATAGAATATATAAAGGATATCTGATGACTGGAGGTGGTACAAAAAATAATAAAGTCTATGAGTGTGTTGATGAAAATTCTGAATCTATTGACGGCAGTGGTGCTGATACAGGAGGTGCTCTGTTCTACTTCACCGTATCAACTTGTAATGGTTTACCTTGTCCACCTTATGTTAACAATAGAGCTATTACTTGTGTTGTGTGTACTAAGTAGCTAACACATTATTATTTGCAATTTCTGTATAAATAAAGGAAGGTGACAGTTTAGCCTGTCTACTATACAAATGTGGTATCACTGGTATCAAGAGTAAATAATACCTAAAGAGAGTATCCAAGTATCCAAGAAAATATTATTTACTCTTGCTGGTATAAATCTACACAAAATTGAATGAAGGAAGGCCATGTTGTTTATAAGGTATGAGAAATGTTTTCTTCAAACGTCCATGCTTATTGCATTAGAGTAAGGAAGGCCATTGTAACTTCTTGTTCCATGGCTAGTGTTGTGGTATTCATGTCACTTTTCAAGGCATTACAATTATTAATTCAAAATAATATTAGCTAACAGCAATAATTATTACTAGTACACAAAATTAGTAATTTTTTGGTAAATACTAACCTTTAGTCCCAGGTGGTATCAATAGATGCACCCAGTACATTAAAATCACTTTCATATGATATAAAACTATGAACGACTTATCTGCAGAGGATACCAATAAAAACATTCATATTAGAAAATGACACAAAACAATTCATAAGTTCACACCTAACAAATAAAATACAGTCAATCTCACAATAGTGGACATACAATATGCTACAATGATAAGTGGTGATATTGATACTATTAATGGTAACTGATATTATCTAGAGAATTAAGACTTATAACAACTGTCTCACGTCAAACAGGTTGACTCAGGTTTTTATTACAAGAGACACGAAGTTGGACACACTAACAACATCACATCAACATTAACAGCTAGGTTAAACAGGCTTGTATTACTGGTTTAAACTGGTTATTAACTACAATATAACTTGTAATAGGAGGATTAGTATATAAAGATCAGAAGTGTTGTGTGACAGAATATCAATCTCTTGTATTTCTCTCTCAGTCTCTCTTTTAGTCTCTTTCTCTTCCAATGAGGTCACTAGTTGTGTGTTCAGTGTTGCTCTCAATACTGACACTAACTACAACTATACCATTAAAGAATAACACCAACACTGGACTGTCCTGCAACAACAAACAAACCTATGTTGAGGTGCTGCGTGGTAGAGATGGTCGTGATGGTAGTGAAAGGAGAGAGAGGAGATAAGGGAGAGAAAGGTGAATCTGGACCTGTAGGACAAGCTGGTCCTAAAAGTGGAGGAGTAGTGTACACTCGTTGGGGAAGGAAGTCCTGTCCTACTGGAGCTGAACTACTGTATGAGGGAATAACTGGAGGCAGTTACTGGAATCATCCAGGAGGAGGAGCTAACTATGTCTGTTTACCAAAGGTCCCTCAATATATGAGTGCAAATGAACCTAATGAGTATTCTGAAATGTATGGTACTGAATATGAAATTGGTGATAACTATATATTTTCAGGAAAGCATCAACACAATGTTCCTTGTGCAGTATGTTATACATCTACTAAGAGTGTTAAACTGATGATTCCTGCTAGAATCAGCTGTCCTTCATCATGGACTATAGAATATAAAAGATATCTGGTGGCTAGTTATTATAATCACAAGAATAATAATGCCTATGAATGTGTTGATGAATATCCTGAATCTATTGATGGTAGTGGTGCTAATAATAATGGGGCTTCTTTCTATTTCACACGTACAACCTGCACTGGTCTACCTTGTCCACCTTATGTTAACAATAAAGCTATTACTTGTGTTGTGTGTACTAAGTAATAATTTGAACAGTGTGTGATAATAAATTTTATGCCTATTTTAGTAACAATATAATAATGATTAGTTCCATTTTATTGAGTGAAAATACAACAAAATTTATGAATATTTCAAAAAATGGTCAAGTTAATACAAAAATTAGTAGCAAATTTCAGATATTAGATCTAAATGTCATAGAATGTGATGAACATAATGCTGTATATGCAAATGACACTTCTTAAAAATTATTGAGGCAGAATATACCCATAATATTGGAGATGTGCATGAATTCTTATTAACTAACCATCAATCTAAGCATACCCACTTATATTTGCCTTCATCATACCAACATATAAAGTATAGTAGGTTTATTTTGTTTGGAAAAATGTTCATTCTAAGTAGGATTAGTGATTTTCATTACTTTTCTTTATTTTCATTCTGAGCACTAATTTTGCAAATGTGAAATTGACAACACACCTTATTTGTGAAATATTCATTCGACAAGGAATATGAGACCAAAAAACAAAACCTGCTATAAGAAGGTATTAGTTTGTTCATACAATAAACATCGATTGTTGGTGCAGAGGTGAGTTGCCAGAATAATAATAATGTAGATCAATTTTCTCATTAGAAGACAATGACTGTGCATATACTCTACAAATGATTTATTGGTAAGAGTAATATTTGGCAAAGTTACTCGTGGAAAGTTAATTGGCAAAATTTTTATATTGGTGATTTTGTACCACATGCCATCAAGCATGCTCAGATTGAAACAAAGTGGTGGATTTTATATTGGCAGTTCCTTCATAAAACAAGCTGCCAATCATTAACATTAATTCCTCACCAATAAATCATCTCGTATGGTATAGCAATAATAATGTACATTAATTAATAAAGAGGCACAGGTGATGGCTAAATTCAGTAAATTGGTGAACTTGTAAAAGTAAACAAAACTAAACAATATGAAGCCCTTCAAAAATAAGCCCTTAAGTCAATGAATGATGACACAATACAGTTAGTACATTATGGTACAAAGATCATACCAGAAAGGAAAACAGACGAGAGAGTTCACTTATACTCATTATACTGTCCAATGTTAAAACAGCAGTCATTTCATCTTTTTCATTAAGAGCAAAAACAATCAGCCAAATCATATACACACAGCAGATGCAAATATCATGATATGTAATCTAAAATTTAAAAAAATAACATGTCACTGATGTGTATTTAAACATGCATCAAGAAGCTATTGATTTAATAGCCAGCAAATCTAACAAACACTTGCTAGTAGATATGCATAAGAACCACAAAAGAAAAAAAACTGTAGAAAATACTATATAAAGAAAGGAAGGCGGTAATGTTATTATTAAAAGAAGACTTAGATCATCACAATGGTAACACAATATATAATATGCATTACTTAAATATTATAGCATGTAAGCAAGAGCACTATAAAAGTAGATATCANAGAAGTAAAATAGATTGTATTATACAAATTTACTCATTANATTATCANAAAAACAAACAATACCCAATTCTCACAATGTACAACAATAACTACTAGTGACATATGTAGC